TCATATCTCTCCATACCCCTTCATAATATTGGGTGGGTTGGTCTTCTTTTTTTTAAATAAGTCACCTCCACCGATACGCTGCCTTTTGTACATGGTCCTTTTCTTCTCCTTCAGCTCGTGGAAGCCTCCGATTTAAAAAAGGGTAGCATGGTCCTTTTTTTCTTCTCCGGCTCACGGAAACCCTGGTTTGCTAGGCTGGCCTTTTTTGAACCGGTCTTTTTCCCACTATTTCTTTTTCTTTCTTTCTATTTGTTTTTGTTTCTTTTTCAGTTTTGTCCTTTTGCTTTTTTGTTTCTTTTTATTTTTATAAAAATGCTCATGCTTTTATATTTCTTTCTAAAATGAAAAATAGTTTTTAAATTTTGTTTGTAAAATACAAATATTCACATTTGAAGAAATTGTACAAAAAAATTAAAAATGTTTGTATCTTTCAAAATTTCTTAGAATGTCAAAACACGAACATTTATTAAAAATAGCAAACAAAATTTTGAGCACAAATATTTTTTGAATTTTTCAAATGTTTTCGAAAAACACTAACAGATTTGAAATTTCAAAAAAATACGAACAAAATTTTGAAACCAATCTTTGGAATTTTCTAGAACGTTATTTGTATTTGTGTAGATAAAATTTGGAAACAGGAACATTTGTTGAAATTCCGAACAAATATTGAAACCACGAACATTTTTTGAAACTCGTCGAACATTTATTGAATTTGTAAACAAATTTTTTATGGACTTCTATGACCAATTCAAAGCACCATGCCAAGTTGTTCGGGTTTCGACAGGTTTTACATTTTCTGGAGTTTTTGGGAGAGAAAAAAAGCCGGACGTGTCGCAACATGCATACGGTGTCGGAAGTCATTCAAGCCTGACGTGGATGCCTCCCATGGGCATGCCAAAGCCAAGCATGTTGGCATGCCTTAAGTTGGATAAACATAAGTTAATGTACCGAAGTGCAGCTCACAATAATTTAATGGTTAAACTTAAGTTGACGATCTCGTTATGGCATAGATTCTTTGAACCTTAGTTGGCGCTAAAGAAAATTTAGTGGTCCTAACATAAATAGTTTAGAGGCATGGTAATTTGATATGTGAGCATGTGACAGATTTGTATGCTAGGATCTTAATTTTTGTTTCTGTTGCTAGATGTTGGATTTCCCATGTGTTCAGAGGAGACTAAGCAGTGACCATCTCACTTTGTTAAAGTAAGGATTTAGGGTTAGGGTTAGGATTACAACAACATCTGGATTGTTGCCTTAGAGCAAAGTTAATTGCTGCAGGAGAGCCAGACTCTACCCGGAAAACTAAAGAGAAAAATGGAAAATAATAGAGAATGACTTAGATTTATTGTCCTCGCCTAGAAATTATAAAAACTTACTATGAAAAGAGAGAAAAAATAAGCTCGGTCAACATAATATTTTGAAAGCAAGAGTTGTTGGGAAGCACTTGATTGCTGACCACTTTATGCCTTGGTGGAGGCATGCCATTAATCGTATCACCTTTTTCTTTTTTTGATACACATTTTCGAGTAAATGACAATGGTCAAGATGACCATACATACCTCTGGAGCCCCACCACCCATTCTCAACAGTGATAAATAAGCTGGTGAAAACCTAGCGTCATGTGGTAATACACAATGTAACTCAAATTAACTTGAGGTTTCATCCTCTAATGACATCCAATCCTGCATAAAGAAGGATATTGAAAAGAATTAAACTGAAATGTCGTAGAAGCTAGCTTATCAGAGCATCTTCAGCCGCGCCCCCAACAAGGCCCCCCAGGCAATTTTTCGTCCGCCGACGCCAAAAAACCGGTCCAGTCGCGCCTTCAAGGGCCCAGTTTTCACCGGCCCGGGCCGAAATTGGCGCTGGCGGACCCAACGCGAACCCGGCGCGCTGGGGGGCGCTCGGGGGCGCCGGGCGAATCGTTTTTGGTGCGAAGAGCGGCGGGCCACCCTTGCCAGCGACTCGCCTCTTTTCTCGCCGCTTCGTCGTCCTCATCGCCTCGTTTCCCGCGGGGAATCAATGCCAAAACTGCGCGCGCTGTCGCGCCGGTCAGCCTCCATTGATGCCTCACAGGCGGCGCAGTAAAGGCCGGGCGACGCGCGTCCCCTCGCCCGCCACGCGTAACGTGGAGGCCACGCGTACTACGCGGCGCCTCCGCCTATATAAGCCGACCCCAGCGCGCCGGAGACACGCACAGAGCCTCCACCGCCGGCGCGCCCATTTCTCCCCCTTCCTCCCTTCCCTCCTCTCGCCGTCTTCAGTTCAAAAGAATGGCCGAGCGCTTCCCAGGCGACGGCGCGGCGGCGAACGGCTTCGGCTGCCGCCATCTTCACGAGGACGAGGCTCGCCTCCTTTTTGAGGCCGAGTACCCGGTCCCGCCGGACATGCGGGTGCCCGGGGCATGCAGAATCAGCGCCGGGGGCGTGCCGGTGCCACCACCACCAACCGGGACGGCGCGGCGTGCAGATATCGCACGTATCCGCGCGTCCCTGCCGCGGGCGGCGAGGGAAGGCCCGCGGTACACCCCCGACAGCCCGCTCTGGGAGCCTACTTCCGCCGCCGCCACGCCGAACAGCTCGAGGCGACGAACGGTGTCGAGCCCTCCGGCAGGCTCAACTCCGAGGGCCGGCGCCGGTGGTGGGGCGTGCCCGGTCGCACGTTGGACGCCGTCCTCGAGTACATCGAGGGCGGAACACGCCACACCTCGAGTACCCTGCTCCCCCGTCCTTCTCTCGCCGACATGGGAGCTCGTGGACGCCGAGGCGCATGGTGCGTCCCGGGGCGTCCTCCTCCTCGTCCGGCCGCTCGTCCGGCTCTCCCTGCCTCCCTGCCTCCGCCCCGTCAAGCCGGAGCCCCCACGCCTGTCAGCGCGCGCACCCGCAGCTCCGGCGTCCGCATCGGCGACTCGGCCCCGTCAAGCCGGAGCCCCCACGCCTGTCGAGCCCAAGCCGGAGCCCGGCCTTCCCGCGGAGTACGAGGAGATAGCCCGGTGCGGCTTCTCTGACGAGGACGCCCTACAGTGGGCGCGAGACGACTACCTCCGCGACGAGATGGTCCGGCAGCGCCGGGCCCTGGAGGAGATAGAAGCCCGTAAACGTGGGCGCGAGGACGAGCACGGCGTCGTGATCCTCGACAGCGACGACGAGGAGGAGTAAGCCCCCGGACCGTCCAACCCGCCGCGCCAACCGGGGGAGGGAAGCAGCAGGGACGACGGCGGCAGAGGAGGCGGCGGCGACGACGACGACGACGACAGCGACTACACGCGGTTCTACAGCCTCCTCGGCATGTAGAACCGCAAGGGCGGGCGGTGGGCTGTGAGGAGCGGCGAGGGAGACGGCGAGGAGCAGCCCCTAGTAGTTTTTTTAAAATATGATTAAATTTGAACGAACTCGCTGAAGTTTGCGTTGAATTTGCGCCGTGTTTGTGCCATATTTAAGTTTTTAAAAAAACATGGGCGCCGCAACTGGGGGGCATCACGCCCCCAGCGCGCGGTTTAGCACCGGTGCGTCCCAGGGGCGATTTTTAGCTCCTCCTAAGAGGCCAAGGAGTGAAGATGCTCTCAAAATGGTTGGTTTGGCGCCCGTCGTTAAGAGTGGTCTATGCATGGGCACGCTAGTGGAAATCACGCGCGTTTGTTGAGAATGGCCGTGACCTAATTAAAAAGAGCATGTGCATGTGTGCGCGTGCTGGGGTGCAATCACGTTTCTGTACATCTGTAAAGAAGCTAGGCATCCCACAACACTGCCAAAAATGCTATACGCGCTCCCGGGCAGGACGAAGCTTCGACGTGGTTTCCTCTCTCCATCAGTGCTGAGATGAGACGAACGAGACCATCACACAGCCTTGCATGCAGCTGCGTTTGCCATGAGACGAACGGTGCCTTGTTGCTGATAGGAGTACTAGCTAGCTTGTACGTACTACCCATGTGCACTACACCATGTATATATAGCATGCAATGAAATTATTAGGCAGCATTGCCAAAGATGGTCTCTGCGCGCTCCTCCCACACCACATGCAACTACCCCGTGGTTTCCATGTCACTGCCATGAGATGAGATATCATCATATGCTTGCTTCACCGGACTCTCTCTCTCTCTCTCTCTCTCTCTCTCTCTCTCTGTGTGTGTGTGTGTGTGTGTGTGTGTGTGAAGCCTAGGCTCGACACGTTGTGGGTGTTGGAGCGGGGTCGCTTTGCATCGAAGGCAGGCTCCAAGCCTCCAACACGACCACACTCGCTCGCTCGGCGCCTCCGCTACTTAAACAGCTTGCTCCACAGTCCAGTCCATCCAGTCCAGTCCAGGGGCTCCAGCACGTAAGTACGACCTCCAGTCCAGTACAGGCTCCAGCACGTCGCTCGCCACATCTCAGGCTAGCCACGGTGAGTCCCTCCGCCTCCCCGTTCTTGCATCTTCTGGCTGAAATCTCCTCGCTGAAACTGCATCGCGCGGGGAGGCATTTTGTGGCTGACATGAAATCCCCTTCTTCTTTCCTTTCCTGTTGAAATTAATTAAGCTGCAATCTTTCTTCTTCCTCTTCCTCTTCTTTACCCTGTTGAAACCTGAAGATACCTAAGATGCATAGATCGATCGATCGTTTCGTTTGTTTTCGAGACTGATAAGTAAGATAATCTAAGAGTACAGTTCCCCATCTGCTCATTTTGTCCAGTGGTTCATGGAGTCTCCGCAAAAGAAGGCTGCATCCATGGACGGCAGCAAGAGCAAGACGCAGACGCCTCATCTGCTGCCGGTGGCCGTGGCCAAGAAGACGCCACGTCCGGATCTTGTCCGGTGGGTCAGCGCGTGGGCGCTCTTCACCGCCGGCGTCTTCGCCTTCTCCTTCGCCGTGGGCTCTGCAATCGCCTACGCACTCGACCATTTCCACGTCGCCTGCAGCCAGGTAAGGATCGACGAGTCGCCTCGTGTACTGTAGCCTCGCCAAATCTCCCCGATTCTCCTGCCTTCTCAATTTCCTCTGCCCTCCACACTTCCACAGTCCTCCTTCTTCCTGCGGTGCGACCAGCTGACGGACGCGGCGGAAGCCGTGGTGAACGCCCTGGGGACCGGGATGCTGTGCTGCGCCGCGCTCCAGGCGGCCGCGGCGGTGCTGGCGCTGCGTTTCCGGCGCTGCCGCCGCTCCCTCGCCTACCTCGCGCTCGCGCTCACCATCGGCGGCCACTGCATCTACGCCGCCATAGCCCACCTCTTACTCGTCGCCGACCCAGGAGACCTCTTCTTCGGGATCAGCTTTGCAGTGACCATCGTCTTCTTCGCGGCGGGAGACATCATCAGCTTCCTGTACCTCCTCCTCGGCGGCGAGGACGAGGAGTAGGACTGGGAAGCAGGGCAAGCAGCGGATCATGTCCATGGATCAACTCCTGAGGAACTGATAAGTGACTACTGAATAACGAGTGCACTAATGTAGAGTATGCATTATGCTAGCTGCGAGCGATTGATCGAGTGCCGTATGCGTGAACCGAATCTACTAGTAGTGATTGTATGGAGTATGTTAGTTTGTGCGTGTAGTGCATGTGTTACCCTGAATTGTGGCCGTCTTTGATGCAGTACTAGTATTCGACCTTTTTTCCATATATATGACCAGACGGACATCATTTATATGCTCATTTACCCAGCTTCGTATAAATGATGTTGGTGAGATTGTCACTGCATGCAGTTTATATTCATGCAGTATGTTTGTTAACCATTGTTTTTCATGCAACCGCTGCCGAGATCCAAATGGGTTCGGGTGTTTGTTTCCCTGAACCTCTAGTAGATTGATAACCTTGCAACCCGAGATCGAGGTGGTGTTTCGCCGCTCTCGATCCATGACCACACCGATGGAGTCCTTTTTTTATGCCACATTTTCCTTTTGGCGGTCCACACACAACTCTTCACTTGTACCATTGTATGAGCGCTTCACTCGTTCTGGTGAAGCCCCACACGTAGCCCCATAGGGCTGCTGTTTTAGTTAGAAAGAAAAAAGAATGCCCAAAAAAAAAGAACGCAATAATCCCCATCTTGAACCTTTGGACTACGGAGAGCTCATGCTTATGAGTCGGTCTCTTCCCGGACAAAGTAAAGCTATTGTTAATTTATGACTCGGTCCCTTCCCGCATCATTGAATTGTTAATTTATTTACCCCGCAAAAAAGAGAGTTGTTAATTATTTAAAGCAAAGCTATTTGCTGCATATGAGTCGGTCTCTTCCGGACAAAGTAAAGCAAAAGAAGGAAAAACAATAGAGAATGACTTAGATTTATTGTCCTCGCCTAGGAATTATAAGAGTTCATGAAAAGAGAGAGAAAATAAGTTCACTCAAGGCAATGACTTGAAAGCACCGATTTTCGTCAAAGCACATGATGACTCCTCACTTTATGCCTTGGTGGGCGCATGCTACCAAACGCCATCACCTTCTTTCTTCTTTTGACACGCTTTTTGAGTAGATGACAATGGTCAAGATGACCATGTAGACCTTTGGAGCCCCAACATCCATTTTCAATAAAGATAAATATAAATAAGCTCATTAATGGTCTTGGGAAAACCAAATCGATTATGCGTCAGGTAGTGCTATGCAATATAAGTCAAAGTTAAGTTTGCATCCGCTAACAACATCAAATAATGCAGAAAGAAGGATATTAGAAAGAATCAAAAGATTGAGCCAAAATGTTGTACTAGCTGATCAAAATGATTGATCAGCCTCCCCCACCCCTAGTTAAGAGTGGTGCATGTGCTACTGGAAATCGCACGCCCTAGTTGAAAATCCACCCGTCTTTGCTAGTGCGTGTATGCTTTTCTCGCTGAAATCCTTATTTCTCTTCTTATTACTCTTTTCTTCTTGAGATTAATTAACGATCTAGTGACGATCACATATATCTTTTGGCGGGAGAAAATTAAACCAGGAACTAACGCCACCTGCAAGTCTGAGAAGGTAGTGTGGTAACATACAAACATAACTTGTACATCCGTAGACCATGGTCAAAATGTTGGATGAACCACACTAGTCGTCAGAGTGGATATCGGTGTTGGGGGAAGCTACTTGCCACAAACGGAACGGCTACGTACGGTGGATAGCTGGCATTACTAGTGCAGATTCTGCAGAACGCGGGCTATATTACAAGCGTACGCTGCTAGAAGTTGCACTAGTTGTAAATTGGTACACATGCATGCAGCTAGCTATTAATATTGCTTTTTACTGCCATGTACGCATGTGTGTGTGAGCTTCACTCCACTCCGCGGACGCAACCTCACCCGAACTTTCCGCCCGTTCATACGCCACGCTGGCGCACGCGCCCATGGAAACAGCCGTCCCAGCGAGCCAAGTGTACATGGGTGGGCCCGTGCACGAAACTGCTCTTCTCCTTTCCTCTTTCTTCAACCCCCAGCCGTCGCGGCTCCCCTTCTTCACATACCGCAGCCTCCCTTCATGTCTCTCGCAACTGTAAGCTCTGTCACCGGCGACAAAGTGCTACCACCGGCCGGCGAGGAGCACAGGAAAGCTACAACCCACCGCTGATGATGCTGGAACCGTGTGCATAAAAGTTGCAACCCCACGTCAACGACGGCAAAGGAGAAGCAAACTAAGCGAGGCAACCGGCGAGAAGAACTTTGCCGGAAGCGGCCAAGTTTTTTGTTGCAACCGTCGCCATTGTTTGATACTACCGGCGCCGAATTTGCTACATCCATAGCGGCGGAGCTACGACCTACTATGGTGCTGGGTTTTTATGTTACATCCGTTGTTGGATTTTGGTACTACTGGCGATGGATTTTGCTAGATCCATCATGGCGGAGCTGCGACCGGTAACAACGCCGAGATGAATTTTGCTGCATCCGTTGATGGATTTTTGCTATTATCGGCATACACTTTTGCTACAATGGCGACACAAAATGCTACCACCATACGGCCATGTTTGCAACCAACGGGGGCGTTTTGCTGGAGCTGGTGAGGTCGACTTTGTTACAACCAGCGACGAAAAAAGCTGCAACCGACGTCTAGAAAAGCTACAACGCGCTTCTGAAAAAGCTTCAATGGCGAGCGGCGGCAACGGAGCTGCATGCCGGTGCTGCGATGGGCGCGTGGCGAGACAACAGTCGTGCTACGGTTGTGGGCTGCGACGATGCTGGAACCCTCACCCAGCGGTGCTGCAACCAGGGGTGGGAGACATACCCGGCTCGACGGAGCTAGGGATGTATTTCGTTTTTTGACAGGCCCAGCGGAGCTGCATGCGGTGAGCGGTCCCGGCGAGCTGCGGCGGCGTGCGGCCTCGGCGAGGCGGCCAAGGGCCGAAGAGGCTTACTGGCGGAGATCTATTTTTTCTGTTTGCGCATGCACGGAAGGAAGAAGGTGACTTGGTCGCGACAATCTCGTCCATTCGGGTTTGTAGATCCAACGCTCGGCAGCAGACCGGCCCAAATTTAGGCCGGTGCGGCGGCGCAGAGTGCTGCCCTTATTGCTCCGTCTGTGTGTGTGTCTCGCTCTCTCTTTCTGTATCTCTCTCTCTGTGCTAGTCCGTCGAGGATCAGTTGTCGGGTTGGTTCAGATAAGTTTCTGTGGATTTTTAAGTGCTAAGAGGGTGTTTGTTTCCAGGGACTTATTGGTCTAAGGACTTAAAAAAGTCCCTATAAATCCCATTTAAACCAAACATGAGGGACTTATAGGGACTTAAAGTGGATATTCGGGACTTATGAAATAAAACTCTCAAGGAGGGACTTATAGTTGTAATATGGTCTTATAGGAACTTATAAGTCCTAGGAACCAAACAGATAGAGACTTTTTAGGGACTTGTAACTTATAAGTTGGGACTAAAAAAAGTCGTAGGACTTATGAACCGAACAGGACCTGAGTGACCTGAGCTGACCCTCTCCCTACGTGTAGTAGTGTCTATCACCCCAAGGATGCATGTTTATTAGTACAACGAGGGATAGATGATTACGGTACATGGAGGGTTGGAGTTACACAACTATTTTTGACTTGAAATAGTAAGAGATATTATAGAAATAAATAAATCATTACCAAGGTTTGCACAAGCTGAAAATAAGGAAAAAGTTCACATCGGATTAATCGAGCCATTCTTTAGCACTGCGGATTGCTTTCCTAACTCTGTGGAGCAACGCCATATGTAATTCATATTTAAAATTTTTCCTTCCAATTACTCAAGTCCCATGCCGCCCCACCATCATGCTTCCGTCTGATCTTACCGAAATGCGAAGAGTCCATTTGGTTTCCAATTATTTTTTCCTAAAGTGTGTTCCCTGTTTCAGTTTCTTCCGGAACTGCTAAGGCCAACTGATGTAAGTAACAAATAATTTTCAGCCCGGTATTTAAACCTGAAGTGCTAACATGCTCTCGTAAAAGTCATAGGTTAACTAGCTGAATGGATATGTGATTATATAATAGATCCTAAGTATCTGCAGTTTTAGTTGTCATAATGTTAATAAAAAAATTCATTTGCATACAATCAAATCACATTAATATATATTGCAACATACTCCCTCCGTCCCATAATATAAAAACGTTTTTCACGTTCTTATATTATATGGGACGGAGGGAGTATTTCGCAGCAACGCGTGGGGTATTATCTCCTCACTTCCGTGTTGCCGAGCACCTTCACTGTAGTCAAGCTGCACGGTCACCAGAATGTGATGAATGGACCAAACTTTTCGAACTCGCTCTTGCGTGAACCTCAGCCGTCAAACCGGGTAAGAAGAGAATAGCTCCGATAGTTTTTGTTGCCCACAGTGCCCTAAAACGAATCCACGGTGGCCAGCACGTTCTTCGTTTCTCCCCATATATGGACAAACTATAAAATTTTCACATTACGGGTCAAAGTACTCCATTATACTTCTGCATAAATACAGTCCTACATTCGTACTACGGCGTACTACGTATGGATGGGAATGGGATCGGATCATGGGACGACTGAGAAAATATCAGCGTCACCCGGCTCGGCCACGCCACAGAACCTTTGCCTCTTCCGGCCATGGCAGCGGTGGGCGCGTCGGTACTGACGCCTACCATGAACAGGGAAATGGCATCAATGACACCTAGCATGCCTTTCTCCACGCCTTTCCTCGCTCCTTCGGTGGCCTCCTCTACACCCACTCCACGCTCAGACACCCAGTTCACCATAAAACCCGCCCTCCGCCACCGCACCGGCCGGGAAGAGAGGACGAGCGGGGAGCTAGGCTAGGCTAGGCGACCAAGCGCTCGCGGAAGAAGCCGGCTAAAGCTAGCTAGGGGGAGCCGGGCGGGGAGGCGAGGCTACCATGAGAGGCGAGGGGAAGCCGCTCTGCGCCCTGCTGCTGGTTCTGCTCTGCCTGGCCGCGCAGTTCCAGG